AAATGGGATTGCTGGATCCTCTGATAATCCTTTTTAATCGTTTGAGGAACCTGGTATGGGTGCATTTCTTTTTTCATTTATTTTCTGGTTTTACTGGGATATGATGAACACATAACATTGTTCTAGGTTAAGGATTTGATATCGGTATATAATGTGAATGGACCACAGTAAGTCTAGTTAACATCCATCACCACATATAGTTACAGGGTTTTCTCCTGTGATGAGAACTTCTAAGAGCTACTCTCTTGGCAACTTTCAGATATAAAACACAGTATTAACTAGAGTCCCCATGCAGTCCATGACATCCCCAGGACTTATTTATCTTATAACTTGAAGTGTGTACCTTTGGACCACCTTCACCCCTTTCCCTCACCTCCCACCCACTACTAGGTGCATTTTTAAATGTTTATTGGGGTGTGGAGCAGAGCCTTGGCTGATGTAGGTACAAAAATAGCCCTGAGTGATGGGCAAGGCATGCAGTGTGCAAGCTCAGCAGGCCCAGAAGTGAAATTGTGTTTTCCTACCATTCAGCGTCATCTTGATCGAACCCCCACTTCTCATCTCAGCCAATTTGGATCTGACTCTCTCCCTGGGGTAGCGCCCAGGGGGTTCACCTCTGTCATAGGCTGTTTTCCCATCCCTGGCAGAGGCTGGAGGGGTAGCCGGTCCTCCCAGCCCTTCCAAGTCTCCTCAGATGCTCAAGACTGCAACTCAAAACATTTTTTTGGTCAACATTACTCACTTGCCATGAATTTCACAGACATGCTTTGAAACTCAAGAGCTGCCTCCTGTCCTGTGCTAGGAGCGCTACGACTCCTGCGAATCTTAGGCACTTTTGCTGGTGTGGGTCAAGATATTAAAACTGACATTTATCTGACCCCTTGGGTATAAAGACGGATGCAATCCAAGCTGAATTCATTATTACATATCCATTCCTATTATACTCATATTTTTCCTTCTAGTTCTAAAAGGAATTAAAACCTTTTTGTGGGTCCCTAATAATATGGAGGCAGGGATTCTCTATCCAACTGACCATGTGAGTTAGGGGCACAGGAAGTTCAGAACCATATGCTAACACTTCAAAGTGTCAGTCCATTGAATTTCTAGCACCCAAGTACACCCATGTCACTCTTTTGCTCCAAACCCTTCCCAGGAAAATGTCTGAGTTCCCCAGGCCCCCACCCCCCGCAGTCAAGGCCCTTCATCAGCTGGTTCCTATCTGCCCTTCCGGTCTCAGGCACCATAAGCCTCTTACACCTCCCTCTTGGATGTTTCCAGAACACCCCAGCCTTCATCATGCCGCACACCTTTGCTCAGGCTGCTCCCTCCACGGGGAGCATTCTCTTCCACCTGGACCACATCGCGCACACCTGTGCATCCTTTGAGATCCAGTTCAAATGTCACTTCCTCTTTGAATATCCCAAGCTCCCTCCCTCCTCTGTATTCCTCATTCATTTCTCCGCTGTAGCACTTCCCCACCCTTTTATGTCCATCTCTTCCCTGTGAACCCCTTGAGGGCAGCTGGTTTTCCCAGGGATCCTCAGGGCCCAGCGCAGGTCACTGAATGCTGAATACGTAAGCAGATGACCAAGTGAATAAATGAATGAGGGAAATAGTAAATGAGAGCAGTGGTCTGCTCAGGAAAGGGATCCCCTCTGTAGCCCCCCACAGATGGAGTGTCTGGACTGGTGGTGGAGCCAGGCTGAGCTCCTCTCCGAGCCCCACCCTCTGACTCACCCGGCTCCCTAGAGACTGGTTTCTGGGAATGTGCTGGAAGCTTGGCTTGCCTCCCTGGCTGAAACCTTTGCGTGGACCCTGTTCTGCCCCAGGAGTCCCCGTGCTCACAGGCTGTGCACCGAGGTCACAGGGGCAGGGCAATGCAGAGGGAAGGGCCTCACCTGTCAGCGGGGATGTGGGTGAGGGTGGGCAGCAGCCAGAGACCCACCTGGCAGCCCCCACAGAGCCTCCTCCCTGCCTCCTGAGGTGAAGTGCACTGCAGGATGCCGGGAGCCTCGGGAACCTCAGGGAAAAGGGGTGACAGCACCAAGAACCAAGTGAGAAACTCTGGGTGCCCGGAGTCCAGGTGGCATCTAGGGGTGCTAAAGGGACATCATCTGGGTGCAGCGTGGAGACGTTCAAGACCCTGCAGGGACTACTGTCACCCTTTGGGATGCCCAGCACCTGAACCACCTTCCTCTGTCCTTCCTCCTCCTGCACCCCATCTTTGCAGGTAGGCCCCTCCTGGCACAGATGTTGACTGAGCTGTCACCAGCTTTCCCAGCGTCGTGGTGATGCGGGAGATGCAGGAGTACAGCACCCGGTGTCCAGGGTCAGCATGAGAGGAGGGGCCTGGCCAGGGCCAGCCGCGAGGGTGTCTGCACCAAGCCACTTCTGGCATGCGATCTCAGTGAGTGCCGAAGCACCACTGTTCCTGGCTGGGTATGGCCTTTAGGCCTAGTTCTCTGGCTTTCCCCAAGAATCTGTGACACCCTCAATAGCCTCTTATGAACCCCTGTCTGTTTAAATTAGTCAGAGATGGTTTCTGTTGTTTGGAACTAGAAACCAAGGAAGTGTGGCCCCAAAAAGCAGAGAGGATTGTGGATGGCATCATTAAAGACCTAGTGCCCAGAAGGGGGGTCTGATCTATTTGTGCCTGCTCTGAGTTGCACAGTAGGGAGGCCCAGCTTCACTCTGGAAACTATACTCCAGAAGGATGCATGACAAAGTGGAGGCTCTCTAGGGGACAATAACCAGGTCAGTGTGGGGTCTAGAATTCATAGTGGAGGAGGGGATCCTGGCTTGGAGCTGAGCAGGCTGAAGCCTCTGGGGGTGGGGGTCCAGGTCTTGCTCCCATCTAGAATAGTTTGAGGATGGACAGAGCTGCCTCTAGAGGCAGTAAGCTCCCCAGCACTGGAGGTAAGCAAGGACTGAATCCTGCAACCGGATAAAAGAAGCCCACCTTGGGCTTCCCTGGCTTGGCTTTAGGGTGTGTCTCCAGGCTAGGTAAAGAGCAACAAGCAAACACTAGACTTGGCACCACCTATCAACCAGGCCTCAGTAACAACCCACAGTGGAGGGGAGTGAGCCCCTAATCTACCAAGCAAGGCTTCTTCATACTCCCCAGGTGGCCTGGCCCAAACCCAGGGAGGGGAACATGCCTGAAGGATGACGAGGCAGAGGGGGCAAATCTTAGTGACCAAGGATGACTGATAAAGACTCTGATAAGTCACCTGAAAAAATAGCCCTAAGTACCCTAAGAAACCATTATTTTCCCACTAATCACTTAGCCAAAGATTACAGGTTAATAATGAGCATGTTGGCGAGGACACCGGGGAGCTGGTACCTTCCTGTATGTTGGTGGCTGTGTACAGTGGAACAACCACTGTAGCAGGAAATTTGGCAAATCCTATGGAAAAGTCCCACATGCACACGTCTTCTGGCCCAGGGATTCCATTTCTAGGAATTTATCCTCGGCTACATTTGCTCACGTGCAAAATGACACGTGAGCCATGCTGTTGTTTGGTGAAAGCAAATGATGGCACAGAGCTGCCCATCGACTAACAGGGGACATCAAAGAGATGATGGGTGGTACATCCACACAACAGAAAACTGGGTAAGTGACAAAGAGAACAAGGATGCTTTGTGTGTACAGATGCGCACAGCACTCCGAGATTAAATAAATGAAACTCTTAAATGTAACCACTAAGCTACAATTTGTGTATAAAAGAAAAAAAATGTCTACTGATGCACTGTAGGCAGAGACTGTTCAGAAGGATGCATGAGGAATCAAAAACAGTGGATGCCTCAGGGGAGGGAATCTGTGAGGCTGGGAAAAAAGAGACTGACTTTTCACTGAAAACATTGTAAGCCTTCAATATTTTTTGAATTTGGTGTGCATGTAGTGTATTAATAACAACATAGGAAGTGAAAACAGAATGTGACAGAAAGCAGAACCTGTGCTAGGCACCCACACACACACAGTGCGTCCTTTGGCAGGTGTCACTGCTCCTCTTTGCAGGTGTTGAAATGGAACCAGCTCAGAGAGGTTCAGGAAACCACCTAGCATCACTCAGCAAGGGAGTGGTGGCGCTAGGGCTAGGACCCAAGTCTGCAGTCACGCTTCAGGCAATACCCTCCGGCAGAGCCAGCTGCCCAGGGCCAGTTGCCGCTGTGCCAGCCCCAGGACTGTGAACTCTATGTCTGGGAAATGGGACAACTCTAGAAACTCAGCTCTGGACACAGAGTCTGGGAGAAGGATCCTGCCCCAACGGAGAGGCCAGCGATCAGGGAGTTCTGGGGAGGCCAAGGCTAACCCTGCCGGGGGCCAGCTGTGTGACCTCCAGCAAGTAATTCTCCCTCTGTGAACCTAAGCGCCTCATCCAGGTTCCCATTCCAAGGATGTAAAAGTCTTAGTAAATGAGGTGACAACTGAGAAAGCTCCTCCTCCCAAGAAGGTTCTCAAAAATAATCCAAGTCTTTCAGACTGGCCCCCACACCTCTGGATTCCCAAACCTCTGAGCTGCCCTGCCTCACCTTCTGGGTCTGTGTCACTCTAACACAAACACTCCTGCTGTTTGCTAAATTCATCCGATTGTCTGTCACTTGAACTTACACCTTTGTAGGCCCTCCTACGCGTCAGCCTAGGGTGGCCAGGGCTGCCTCCTCGCACGACCCCTCCCGCGCATCCCCGCACCTGCCCACACCTCTGAGGGCCTTGGTATAGGCACTCGGACCATGCCCGCCGCCCACACCCAGCCGTGGCTCAGGCTACTCGGCGCCTTGCTTCTCCACTAGCCTCGAGGGCAGCCCCCTTGCCCCTCAGCTCTAGCCTGCTCCCCCCGCCCACTCTGCGCAGGCCCCTCCCCACCCCTTCCACAGGCACCCAATGAGCGCCGCTTCCTGGACTGGCCCCGCCCACCAAGGGGAGTCCCAGCCGCCGATTGGCCCGCCCCGGAGCAGTGTCCCCCGCACGTGGGGCGGGGGCGGGGGTGAATGAAGTGGAAGCGATTCCTCCGCCCCCACGCTTACCTACCCAGCCCTGCGCGGCGCGTTCCCCGCGGAGCCCAGTCCAGCGCCAGCCTGTTCACCAGCCGCTGCACTGAACCCTGGTGTCCGTCTCCGCCTGGCCAGGACCCCGCGTCGCGGACCCGCGATGGCCAAGCGCAGCTCGCTGTCCATCCGCATCGTGGAAGGGAAGAACCTGCCAGCCAAGGACATGTGAGCGCGATGGGGGTGGGAACCTCAACTTTCTGAGGAGGGGCCCTGCCCATTATGCCTGACCTTTCTGGGGTCCGCACGACCTGCCCACAAGTAGAGTCACGGCCAGGGTGTGGCAGCAGTGGGAGCAATGGGGACAGTGAGATTTGCTGCGAGCTCCGGACAGGGGTTGACAGGGAAGGGCCTGGGACTGGGGAGGAGGCAGGGACTGTAAAGGGCCTTAGTGAACCCGCAGGGAGAGAACGGCAGCTCTAGAGGGGAATGGGCTTTGATAGGACAGGAGCTGGGGGCGGAGGAGGGGAGACATCAAAGGGGAGATGTCTCCATGCACTATTATGGGGGGTGTGGTTTCAGGAGGGTGGGGTGCCCTCCAGAAAGGAGGGCTCTTCCTCAGTAGTTCTGAAACCCTTAGTAGCTGAGAATGTGCACGTGAAATGCACTGGGGCCAAGGGGCTGTCCTGGGGCTTCCGTGCTGTGCATTTGGGAAGGGAGGGCAGGGAGGGCAATCATGAAGAGTGAGTGGTCAGGAAGCCAGGGCCAGTGCAGGATGGGATGTCTGGGTATAGCCGCTGTTGTGCCCTCCGCTTTACCTGAGTCATTGCCTTTAATCCTTACAACCACCCAGCAAGGTCATTCTCACCATTCCATTTTACAGATGTGGAAACCGAGGCTCAGAGATGAGAAATGCTGGCTCCAAGTGGCAGAGCAAGGTCCTGAGTCTAGGGCTCCTAACAAACACTGATATCTAGGGCTTTCCCTGGTGCCTGGCCAGATTTGAGAAAGTTTCTAGAGACCACTACCCACCCTTCTCAGTAGGTGCCAGAGCTGAGCTACTAGATCCCATCGCTGGCTCCCTCGTATGCAGCTTTAGGCAGCTCCCTGTCCCCGAAGCCTCAGTTTCCCCTGCTGTAAACTGGAGGTCGAAATCCCTCTCGGATAAGAGCTGTGGAAAGTACAAAGCTTGAGGGATGCTGGCTGCCTGGAGGAGGGGGCGGGGGCAGGGAAGCCCAGAGGCAGCCTAGGGTCCAAAGTCTGCTAGACTGCAGCCTCCCCACCCCTGGGGCTCCTCAGCAGGCTTTCAGATGCAGAGAGGTGGCAGACTGGGGAGTAGGGTGCAGGAGAAGGGGGCAAGGGTATCTCCCTCACATGCACAGTGGCCCCTGTGAGTTTCCCAGCATGCTCAGTGCTGTGAGCAGTTCCAGTTCAAGGCCCCCTGGGCCTGACAAGGCCAGGCTCAGCAGTTACCATGGCAATGGGTGAGGGAGGGTGCTGAGTGGGCTGTCTCAAGGTGGGTTTCGCTGCGTGGGAGGAGTTCTGGTGGGAGCTGGGAATGTGGTCTCCAGTGGAAAGTCAGATGAGCTCTGAAAAGGGTCTCAGCCTCCAGTCCCAGCCTCTAAGCAACCCCCATGCTGGCACGGGTATCTAGGTCAGCTTGGCCTCTTCTGGCTGGTGGCAGCTGGGAGGAGCAGCCCCTCCGTCTGTCGCCTCCCTCCCCATCCCCGCAGCGTTGGCCCTGGTGCCTGACTCTAGGCTCTCACAGTGAAACTGTGGACTCTGCCTACCTGGGAGTCATGGTGCCAGGTTCCCTGCCCAGCCCTGCCTCTGAACAGCCAAGGGCCTCAGCCCAGTGCCTCCATCCCCAGGGGGAAGGGCCACCAAGTTCTGTTGGTTCTGCCTACAGAATCTCTTTCCTTGCCCTGCCCTCCTACCTACTCACCTCCCTGCACTTCCTTTCCTCTGTGTTCCTAATAGTGGCTGATGTATGCGGCTCTGACCTGTCAACCATCTCTTAAATCCAGCTGTGAACCCGCCCTACTCCACCCCTCAATTTGGGCCTTCACAGCCCTGCTTTTGCACATATTTGGGTCTTGTGCCTTGAAGCACTTTCCTTTAAAAGCACTGGAAAACTCTTATTCATCCTTCAGGACCTCTTTCAAACTTCTCTCCAGGGCTTTCCCTGGTGCCCTTGGGCAGTGTTCCTTGATCCTGTTCTGCGCCCTCCAGCACTGTGGGTCAGCCGGAGTTAGGAGGAAGCCCTTGGTAGCAATTGCTTCTTCCTGGGCTGCCTGTGCCTCGTGACTGCACAGGAACCGTGATTCATTCCTCCTGGCATTCTCGGTGCCCTGAGGGACACCTGGTCCACAGTAGGGGAGATTAATAGGTACTGAGGACCTTTGCATTTAATGTTATTAATCCTAGAAGGTTTGTAGATGGGGAAACAGGCTCAGCATGTGGTACTCCTTTGGCAAGGCCACACAGCAGGCAGATAGAGAAGTCAGCCCACTCTGCTGCTGACAGACCAAGCATCCCAGCTGGACCCAGGTTGCAAGCTTGCCATGGGGCTCAGTGGGGACTGAGCCTCGAAAATGTCATGCAGAGCATCTGGCTCAGGCATGGCAGGAGTTTGGAGAGCATAGGAAGCCCTCCCTGAGTGCTGGAGGCAGAGGTGGTGGTGAGCCTGCCCTACTGTGCCTCATCAGCCCCCAGCCTGTCTCCTGAGTGGCATCCCTTCCAGCTGGGGCTTGCTTACTTCTGAGGACGGGGAGCTCACCTTCATCCATGGTGGCCCATATTGACTGAGACAGTTCTGAGGCAGGACCGTCATGACACAGCAACCACTTGCCTCCCTGCCACTTCTGCTTATGGCTTTTTAGCCCCCTTAAGGGCACAGCGCACAGCTGGGCTCCCTCCTACCAACAGCTCCTAGAGCCCCCCTGTTTCTGTCCTGCTCCCTCCCACTCATGGTCTCCCATCCTTGGGTACCTGAGTCAGCCAGACAGGCGTGGAGTCTCATGGTGACTGATGACCCACTGGCTCCCACGCCCAGTGGCCCTGGGGACAGGCCCGGGGCTATTTCAGGATTTGCCCT